GCGCACACACACCACGGTCAGCTCATACGCACGTACGCTGTGAGACAGACCATGTACTATCTATGGCAACCACACTATGCATTGGGGCTGTGGCCCACGTTGCGCCAGGTAGCCCAACTGGCCCGCCTTGGGCATAAGCTGCAGAACTACTCGAGTTCGCTCCAAAAGGGTCCGGCCCGAATACCAGCCAAACACCCCCTCGCCAAATCAAGTCGACATGCTTCCCCCTCCGGAAACATGGACTTCTTGGCTACCGACGTCGGCGCGGATGACTATCCATTAGTAACTGACTATCCAACCTACTATCCGTCGTCTACCATTGGAATTTGATAATACTACTACCTGCCATGAGACCCTGTTACACACAACGTCGCGGCAAAACGCATGTGCATCGCAAATTACACGGTGGTCCAGATCGGCACTTTAAACTTTATCCCCCTTCCCTTTCTAGAAAGGATACGCACTCTCTGTCTCTTCCTCCCCCTCAACAACGACTCCGCGCTCTATTTGCTCGGCATGCTTTCTGTCCAAGTACTCGAGCAAAACATCGCCATACCTCTCCTTGCCCTTGTACCGGCTGACATCGTCGCCCCAAGACCGGATGGCGCTAGCCAGTCGGCCGGGGACATATGGTTCCTCCGCAAGGCTTGTGATTGGACGCATATAGGTTCGTATGGTAAACACGACACCACCGGATCTTGGTAGTCTGTTCAAAGTTAGACGTGATGCCTTCAAACCTTGAGCCAATCTGCAAAATTGATGAAAGTGAAAGAATAAAAACTAAAATAAAATAAGAAATAACAATCGCAACGTACCGTCTCAAACTTTGTCGTTCGCTCCGGAAGTAATGATGCTCAATCGCCTTATTCTTCTCCGCCGTAAACCATCCTACCTCTCCCTCGGCAGTAGCATCTTCACTTCCTATACTCTCGCTCCACGCCAGCTTATCATCCACTTGAATAAAGTAATTGTTGCGTAGCATGGGGCTCTGAGGCTGAATCCGACGGAAAAAGTTGACCATGCCTTTTTCCAGTTTCTCCTTGAACCTAGCATGATGCCGTTAGCACCATCCATCTATACATCCATCCATATTCCACACCACAAGAACTGAAAGGAAAGAAAGGAAAAGCAACAAACTCACCCCGGCACATCCCCACTCGTATGAATCTCACTCAACCCCATCCCAAACTTATCCCCCAGCCTCCAAAACCCAGGCAGCAAAATCGCCCCAGCAACAAGATAATACTGGCCATCCCCCCTCTCCATCATAATGGCAACATCATCCTGCACCATCCGTGCACAAAGCGTCATCGCATCCTCGCTTTCCCCATTCCTCTCCATCCGGCTCACATCGAATTGCTCCCCTGTCGCTAGATTCCGCATCCCGCTCTCTGTCTTCTCGAATAAAGAAGGATACCGCTCAGGCAAGTACGCCACCAACTCCTCAGCGAGCTCGCGCGCCGCATCCACCGCTTCGGGCGCGGTGCGAATGCATTGGGTGCCGCGGGATGCGATGCGTGAGGCTTTGAGCGAGTGGTAGTGCAGGTAGTCCGAATCGAGTTCGATCCAGGTGTCCCAGGGCATGCTGCGGAGGCCCATGGTGATGTTGTATTTGGGGCCGTAGCGGAAGGGGCGGTAGGGGAGTGGGGGGGTGGAGGTTAGGGACCAGTTTGGATAAGGGGAGGCACGGGGGCGGGTGAAGGGGTGGGGGTGCCATACTGGGTCGCGTTAGAATTGTATAGTGTGAGGAGGAGAGGTGGGGGGAGAGGGGAGTAAAGGTGGTTTAGGTGGGTGAGGTGGGTTTACTTACCTCCGAATGGTCGCTCGGGTGCTCGGAATGGGGATCGCTTTTCGAGATTCGGGGTGCTGGGTTCGTTGGTGTTTGCTTGGTTTCTTCTTCTTGTGTTGCGCACGTGACGGGTGAATGCTAGAGTGAGCCAGATACACGTGACGAAGACGAGGCCAGTGTATAGGGTTGCTTTTGGCGATAGTTTTGCATCATCAAATATGTTGTGCAACTCAGTCTTGGCTTTGGAGCAGTGGTGTCGCGCTGTTCGAGCGACGAGTCCGACGTGCTCTCCAAGCCGAGTGCCCAGGTTAGACATGGTGAAAATGCGGGAGTGGAACAATCAGTTCCAAAATTAATAGCTAAAATCAGACGAGATATCAATTGATCTTCGAAATAGTCAGAGAGCAAGTCGGTTCAAATAAGCAAAAATAGAGACAGCACACTACAGATCACGGCGGAATCGTCATGCACGACATGCTGTACAACTTCCTTTTTCTATTATTTACGTTCCGATTCGATACCAGTGCATATCAGGTCTGCTGAGATAAGACTTGTCACAATGTGGGGTTGCCCGCACCACTGTCGTCAGTGTCCATTTATCTACATGCCGGAGCGGGGAAAGCAATACCCTACTCGGTTTAGTGGGGTGGACAGGCATGCACTGCGATAGCAACTCAAGACCTCTTGGGAGCAGGTGATAGGCCTCTCAACATCAAATGCCTTGTGTACATTCGAGCATTGCGCACGTGGCTAGTAAGAATGTTCCATGTCGCGCTCTCGTTACCGTATCCCAAGTAGCTTGGCTCGGATATACCCTCAGAGTATCCGACGGCGTGGTAGTACCGCAATTCCCCCGACAGTCAGATAGCTATCTCTTTGCTCGCCATTGAATTGCCTCTATTTCTTACGTCGTAATAGACAATATTCGCCCCATTTCCGCTGGAACTTTGCGGGTATAAAGGGCAGATCCGGAATCCAGAGCGTGCGACTGACAAAACTCGTCTCACTTGCATCAAGAAATGGTATGCATTTCAGGGTTTCCCATTGTTCCGCATCGGAAATATAGTCAGGTTCAAGCTTTGTTGGTGGCATTCCCGGAAATCGCGAGTCAACCAAGAAGTCGCAGTGTTGAATATCAATCTACGTTACGGTTAGTAGGTCCATTGGGATGGAACTTCACTGGCTACTCACATATTTCCCGGGATCTTCGCGGTTTTCGTCATTCATTCCCATTGGTACCATCCATGTGCCGGGGAACAATTCTGATCCCATCTCGCCCTCGCTGAACTCACCAGGCAGGAGTCCGGAAAACTCACTCTTGATGAACTTGGCACGAACACCTGATGGTAAATGGAACGAGGATGGAAAGCGGTACCACTCCTTACCCAAGCAAACCATGTCTTCTGGCATGCCTTCGATGCGGACAAACTTGGGGTCAAACAATGGTTTGTAGACGTTCAGTGGCGCTGAATAAGCCGTGATGTGACCTGATTAGGAAATTAATTAGTAATATTTCAAGACGTGGTAGACACCATTCCAAGAGTAACAATCAGGTTGTCTGAAGCTGGAGGCAGGTAGAGTAACAGATGCAACATACCAACAGTGCGGAGCATGCCCACATTGAACGACAGAAGTAGTGGGATGCAAACGATCGTGAGCTTCACCATGGGAGGAATACGACTGACTAGGTGTCGTGGATCCATGGAGCCAAAATTGGCCAGGAATATGTGCAACGATAGTGCGGCATTCCAGGCTAGCGCTGGGTATGCTGGGTACATGAACCGTTCCTCTTTGTGAGGCTGGACAGTGAATATTGCCAGCCATAGATAGAAAGGACTGACAAAAACCACGGATCGCCTTAGTGTATGTTGAGAGACAGATTTCTCAAACACGAGGTACTGGATAAGAAGCAATGGCAGCGCAGCCAGGGCAAGGAAGAACCAAATGTTGAAGTTCAAAGCCAAGTTACGTATGTAGAAATGCCATGGCTCTACTCCGTAAATGTCAGGACCTCTGCTGCCACCACTGAAGACGTTGTACAGGACAATGTTCAACGGCACGCATACTGGCTCTCTATAGAAGAATGAGTCGATGCCTGCTTGCAAGGCGAGAATGGCCAAAGCACTCAATCCGCCTTGGAATATCAAACGTTGCAGACTTTGCAGAATTGTGCCTGTGACGAAGCTCACAATTACATCTTCGAGGATGAACGGCAAGGCAAGGGCGCCTGCAAAGGGCCATCCAAGAGCGCTGCCAATAGCAAACCACGTAATTCCACGAGCAGTCTTGATCGAGCCACCATACCAGTCCATGAAAGACGCGAAACCAAGCATGGCAAAGTACATGGCAAAACTGGACGGCAGATATGCAGGAGCAGCATGATACATGCCTGGGCTAACGGTCATGATGATCATGAAGAAGATGGCTATGCGCTCCTGGAATGTTTTCCGGATAGCGGAATACATACGAGCCTGGCATAGAGCGCAGAAGAGGGCCAGAACAACGCGCAGGAAGTAGAACTCGATGACCTTTGATTCTTGGATGCCAAGGAATTGCAAAGGCCACGTGCCGGCCCAGATGATGAGTGAATGGATGGCGGTGTAGGTCCAGCTTCGGATGGCGTACTCTGGGGAGTATTCCCATGTCTGGAGACCATAACCATGATTGAGGTAGTGGCTGGGTTCCCAGTAGTTGAAGACCTCGTCACAGTCTTGAATGGGCGAGAAGGCGGCAGCGGCTAGATTGGCCACGGCAAAGACGCAGAAGGCGCCGAAAGCAGTGAGTGAAGGGGGTCTTGTGGGTAGGTCAGTGGATGCATGTCAGCAGGAATGGGTGCCCCCTGAGCCGTGGTGTCTAGACGTACCTGGCCGCTTGCGGGGGCGCCGCCTTGGGGCGTGTGACAGACATGGCGGTGAGGCAATGGCAGCAACTATCTCCGTCGACTCTGAGCAACAATAACGGCAAGATGTCCAGGGCGGTGCATGAACGAGATCGCCCGTTCCGCGTTCACCCGCGTCATAGGGCTGAGGTCGTGCCTGCCCGCCAAGCATACTAGCGCGCATCGAAAAAGGCGACGTTCTCCCTGGATCCGCTCTCCTGTCCCAGAACAATCACCGCACGCAATAAAGGCAAACGGGTGCAGACAACGCAGTTGATATACCGCAGTGATCACGCGCGCTTCAGAGAAGACTGCAGAGAGAGACACTCGAACATGTCCGACTCTCTGGAACCGCCGGCCAAAAGGGCGCGGTTGGAGGCGGACGCTCCCACACAGTATGGCACTTCAGCATCCTCTGCATCTGCGCTGGACGCGCCTGGCTCGCCTGTCGATGACATGGACGACGATTTTTACGACACTACGCCAGTCAAACCTTCTGCGCTGCCTACCGCTGTGGACGGGACGACAGCGTCGTCGTTTGCAGCGGTTGCACCCGCGCCAGCCTTTCACCTTCCAGGACTCGGCTCTACGAGCGAGGCCCCGGTTGCGCAGCCGCAACCGCAACCACACGACGGCGCGGCAGCCCAAGATGAGCCAGAAGACGGCGAGTTTTCGGATGGGGAGGCCTTTTACGATGATGCCAACGCGAACGCGCAGACCGGCATCCCAGTCGAGCCGTCTGCAGCCAATCAAGCGCAGGCCCAGCATGATGCTCCACAGCAAGGCATGCCGTCGCCCTCTGAGCTGCCTGGTGCAAACTTGACGTCTGCCCAAGATGCTGCCGCTGCAGCAGATACCCCCGCCGCCGACACCGACGGCGAGCTCGACGCGGCACTTACTGCAGCCATAGACCAACAAAACGAGACTGAAGATGCTTCACCTGAAGGCGCTACATTCGACAGCAAAGCCGAGTTCTTGCGCGCGGCGGAAGCAAACAGGGGTGACCAGAATGCTGAATGGCAGCTGGACTCGGACGCCTCAGACTCGGATTCAGACTCTTCCTCCGACTCGAGCTCTGATGACAGCTCAGATGAGGGCGAGCTGCTGGATCCAGAGGAGCAGGTGCGCCTCCTTATGGCTGAAGTCGCAGACGATGCAGGCGCCTCGGGCCCCGTGAAGGTCAAGACGCTCAATGAGATGGATGAGAAATTCGAAAAGCCCGACATCACTGTTACAGAAGACACTAAAATCACAGAACTCGGCAAGGTTGAATCAATTGTTGGAAATCTGGTGGTTGTAAAGGCCAAGATGGCTGGAGATGAGCAAGTGCTTGAATCTGGCTCGGCGCTCTGTCTGCAGAACCGTACTGTTGTCGGCAAGGTGTCTGAGCAAATTGGCCGTGTTGAAGAGCCTCGCTATTCATTTGGCTTCAATGATACAGCTGAACTTACAACTTTAGGTATCGAGAAGGACACGCCCATTTACTATGTTGACGAACACTCAACCTTCGCCGAGACTGAGCCCATCCGCCGGCAAAAGCATACTGATGCATCAAACCTTCACGATGAAGAGACCAACGAAGTCGAGTTTTCGGACGACGAGAAGGAGGCTGAATACAAGCGCGAGCAGAAAGCCAAGAAGCGAGCCAGAGCGGACACCAACGAGGAGCAGGCTCCTGTGAACATACCCACTGGCCCGAGACTACATGTCGATGCTCCAGCACCGCCTATCTACCGACCCATGGAGTACCAAGGTGGCGGGCTTAAATACAGTGATGATGAAGATGAGGATTTGGGCATGTACAAACCGCTTGCCCGACCGGACCACTTTGAACAAATTGTTGGTCAGGGTGCGCCGTTGGAAGATCGTAGCCATGTGCGAAGAGGCATGGGTCGCGGCAGGGGTCCATGGGGCGATCGAGGTCGTGGATTCCGTGGCCGGGGAGGCGCTGGCGGACGCGGTGACTTTGGTGGTGCTCGCGGCGACCGAGGAGGATACGGTGGCGGCAATGGCGGACGTGGTGATTTTGGAGGAGGTCGTGGTGATCGTGCAGGACAACGGGGCGACCGCGGGGCTCAGGGCAACAATCGAGGCGACAAAGGAGGGGGTGAAAAGGGCGGACGCGCGGGCAAGAATCAGTCTGACCGCGGCAAGCAACAGGAGCAGTTTCAACAGAACAACCAGCAGCAGAGGAATGGGCCCTACCAAGACAACCGATCTGCTGCCTCTGCATCTCCGGCACGCCAGCAACAGGACCGTAGCCAGTCGTATCCTCAGCAACCCCCTTCGCAGCAATCCCCCTCTGGAGGTGGCGGCAAAAACAAGAACCGCAAGCAGCGACAACGTGAGAAGAGGGAGCGAGAACGCCAACAGCAGCAACAACAACAACAACAACAGCAACAGCAACAGCAACAGCAGCAGCAGCAGCAACAATCGCAAAAGCAGCAACAACAGAATGCTTCTCCAGCACCTTCCGGGCCTTCAAACTCGAATGCGTATACAAACAACAGCAACGCAGGTTGGCCAGTACCATTTTCAGGTCCATCACAACCTGCGATACCATATGCTTCAGCCCCGCCGCCTCCTCCACCAGCAGCGGCAGCATCATACACTCCTCAACCATCGTACACGCCGCAGCCTCCAGTACCGGCGCAGCCACAGGCACAACCACAGCAGAACCAGGCGGCCAATTGGGCGGCGTGGGCACAGTGGTTCCAGGTTGTGGGTGCGATGAGCGGGCAGCAACCACCGCAGCCTCAACTGGCAGCACAGGCCCCCGCACCGCCACCGCCACAGCCGGCTGCTCAAGCGCAGTACTCGTATCCTTATCAAGGATATGGGCAGAACCAGGCACCGGGTATGAATGCCCCGCCGCCGGGCAATGGGCAGGCTAGCGCGCAGTCATTGCAGGATATATTGCGGGCTCTCCAAGGTGGAGGGGCGCCGCAGTAGGACAAGGGACAGATTGGCGGGGCCCGATGCAGATGCAGCCTTCTCAGCGAGAGGGAGCGATTACGAAGTTTGTGAGACTGTGAAGGGGGCTAGTTTGTCAGGGACGAGTATTGGTGTAGTTTTTTTTGGCTAAGCGCACAGGGTATTTTCTTTAATTTGGGATGGCGTCTTGTAGAATGATATTACTCGTACAGCAGGAGGGATGAGCTGGTGTGATATGCGTCGACGTCAGGTGGAAAAAGCATGGGTGCTGAAGTATCAAAGTGTAAATATTAATCAGGGCAATGGCGCAGACGATATTGTACCACTACTGTGTGTTGGTTGGAAGAAGGTTTGAAGATGCGGGGGTAGGGGCATAGACGGGTAATGGTTGGTTCTTGTCAGCATTTGGTCATAGACGTAAGTACACATACGTAGTATGTACAGGTAGTAGTAGGCGGTGCAGTGATGAGTCAGGGGGGACGTGTGTGTGTGTGTGTGTGTGTGTGTGTGTGTGTTGGTGGATGAGGATGAAATGCTATTGCCATTGGCGGTAGGATTCAGGCGTTCGTGGGGGGGGGGGGCCGTGGTGAAACGGTGGGAGTGGGTGGTGAGCCGTGGTTGGAAGGTCGCAAGAGATGGTGCTGTGACTAGGGCAGACGTGCAACGTCGGAGAATATGCGCGAGCTTTGTTGTAGGCAGACTGGTGGGCAGCGGGCGTCAGAGGGTGGATTTTGATTTTGCTTTTGCTTATTGTTACAACTATCGAAAGTGCAGTGGCGAGAGCAGTGCAGGAGGAGCTAGCAAGCGTAAGTGCAAGCCGTGGTGGAGGCCGAGGGTAGGATAGCGATAGCAATGGCGGTGCCCGAGCGATGTCTTGCGGCATGAGATGCTCGAACAGACGTCGCTGCAAAAGCGGGGAGACGTGCGACAGCGCCACAGTGCCACGGAGCAGTAGGGCAGCAGTGCGACGGCTAACAGACCGTGGTTGTTTAGGCGTAGGAGACGCATCAAATCATTCACCCGGCCGTCGACGCATGGAGCCATGCACAAGTGCAGTCGGTCGAGGTGGGCTGCTGGATAAGGATAAAGTCCCGCGCATGCCAAAGATGGGCGGTGTTCTAGGCCGGGGGTGGGCTGCTTGGACGGGCAGCTCGGTAGGGCTCCGTAGTGTCTTTGGGAGTGGGTAGGGTGGTCGGGGAGGGGAAGGGTAGGGCAGTGGACGAGGGCGTGCAGGTGGCGCAATGCTGCTCGAGAACAGGTGAGCATGTCGCTCTCCATACAGAGTGGGGCCTGCGCCCATGCCCATGCCCATGCCCATGCCCATGCCGAGCCGAATGCCAACTGCCCGCCGCCCCAGTGCCCCATTGTCCACCACCAGCCCACGCAGAGACATAGACACCGCGAGTGGCACACACTCTCTCAGAAACCACAAGATAGAGAAACACTCTGCTGCACACTTCCGCTATCCCATCCATCGCGCCCGCCTAAACGCCTGCACCTGTCCTCGCATTGAAGCGCCACGCTTACCCATCCCCGACTGCTGCTCTCTCTGTCTCTGTCTCTCTCTCTCTCTTCCGCCCTTCGCATCCCCTTGCAGCCCCCTCCCACGTACCGCACACACACATACACATACTTGCATACATACGCACCCTCACTCCCGCTCTCCCACCCACTCCCTCTCCCACACCTACCATCCACGCCCTCCACCGCGCATCCCTCGCCCGTCCAACCCCCCCATTGTCCGCTGGGCCCTTGACCGCTGCTGGTCGCGCTCTTTGCTTCGCCTCGCCTCGCCTCACCCTGCCCTACCCTGCCCTGCCCCGGCTCGCCTGCGTCTCCGCCTTTGTCTCTGCCGCCGCCGCCCATGTGCACACCTCAAGCTGCTGTCCCGCCTCGATGAAGCAGCCGTCCTAGGCACCTCTGCGCAAGCAGCCACCCAACCCGCCTACCGTCGCCGCATCTGCGCGGGCCTGGCGCGACACATATACTGCTGCACACCCCGCCGTGACCATGACGAGGAATGAGACGGTCGGCCGTCATGCTTCGGTGGAGAGCTCGTGGAGTTCGCGCTCTGGCGACACAATACGGCCCTATGGACGCGCGGGCTCGCTGAGGGGCACTCCCGTGACGGTCAAGACGGACAAAACACTCAATTCCAAGTACGTATTCCCGCTGATGCAATACACATACACACACACGCCCGTCTGCCCGCCCGTCTCCCTCCCCAGCCATGACTCTCATCCTTCCTCCCCGTCTCACTGCCCAGCCGGCATCCTCACCTCTGTCCCGGCCCCATTGCTTACGCCCTCGTCTAGCGCTGAGAAGGAAAGCGAGATATCGCCCGGCACCGTCCCTCCAGCCCCGCCGCCCAAAGACCCCTCACATCGCCCATGGAAGTCTTCCCATAGGGACGGCGCGGCCATGAGCCCTTTCGGAGAACATCGGAAACAGCTGGCTGTGCTGGAGACCTCTGGGGGAAGAGTGCCTGCCATATCACGAAACCCTCCCACGGCTACGAGCGCCACTTCCCAAGCCACACCCTGGTCCTCTGCCTCCAACGGCAACAGCATGGCCAACGGGGTCTGGAGCAGCTTCTTCAATGATTCCAACGAAGATGTTTCGCAGTCCTCGCCCGGCTTCCGTCCAGGCACCGGCAGTCGCGAGGACAGCATGGGCTTTCCCTTTAAAGACGATCGACGGCCCTCCGTAGCCAGCGCCACCACTGTCAGTAGCACCGGATCCAAGTCGAGCATTGGCCGAGGATTCCACAAAAGACTCCAGAACGTGTTTGGCGAGGACTTTCCTGCTGATGGCCGCCAGAATTCGGATACCAGTTTGAACATGCCATATGCACCCGACACGCAATCCATCCGTGGACAGCGCAATCGCGGCAACTCCCTCAACAACACCATAGGCAGTGGCCATCACTCCCGACCCACGTCGCCTACCAGTTCGCGCCCGCGCACCCCGCAGGCGTCCTCGGAAGTCACCCCATGGGAGTTTCAAGACCCAAAGGTGAGTCTCAACATTAGCTTGCGGAAACCAGTGCCAAAGCAAAGACGCCCTGCCTTTTTTTTACCACAACTTTTGCTCCCTCGCTCCTTCACATACCCTATGTCACCTCGCGCCAATCCTGGCCGTTGCATCGCTAACTCCTGACAGGACATGTCTGCTTTGCCTGAGAGCGGGGGGCGCCGGTCATCTGAACAGCATTCAGCAAAGTCTGGCCGATCGCATCACAAACTCCACGTAAGGTTACCGGGAACCACCAGTCATCGACACAAAGGCAGCAAGGAAGAGAACAAGTTCCTAGATGGACGAGCTGACAACAGTCAGTCCTATGCTCTGCGACCCACCACCAGCCGCGAGGAGGCAAGTGCTCGTACAAACCAGCCCTCAGCCCTCAGCTCAGCCTTTGCTTCCAAGTCGAGTCTCTTGGGCCGTCCATCAAGCCCTACCCCAAGCTCATACTCAGACATGACTCGGGATGATAGGATGGCACAACGATCACCCAGTGCCAGCAAGCCAGCCCATGGATTCTTTGCACGATTGCGAGGCAAGGACAAATCAGATCGCAACGTTCAGTCAGAAAGTCTTAAGAACCTTACGTCTTCTGGGACTGCCTCGGCCACCTCCTTGAACCCATGTATTGCCCCCGCTCGACTTACCAGACCAGAACTACCTCCACAGGCGAACATGGCCAAGCGCCCAGCCACCAGCGGTGTCGCTGATGACAAGTCGATAAAGGAGCAGAGAGGTCGGGCCCCTCACCACCGGTTGCCTACTTTTAGGAAGGAGAAGCGCGCGCCCATGATGGAACCAACCGGTCGGGACCCCAACGAAAACATAGCTAGCACAGCAGGCAACGATGCCGTCTTCTTCTTGGACCGGAATCTCGACGATATGGAGGGTATCGTTAACCTACAGCAGCAACCGCCCATGACACCGCCTGTTGGAGAATTACAAAAACAGCCTACCCTGCGTGAAGATATTGCGATCCCGCCCGAGGATGACGGTACAGCGGCTTGGGACGCACCCGATTCCTGGGCTGTGAAGCGTACAAAGGACGAGGTGGAGAAACCGGCCGATGTCGAGGACATTCCCACGCCTTCAAAAGAAGAGCACGACAACAAGACGTACTGTTTGCGCATTTTCAGAGTTGACTCAACCTTTGCAACGCTGTCGGCCACCCTCAACACTACTGTGCAAGAGATTATTCAAATACTAGGGAAAAAGACGGTATTGCAAGACGAACTGGACAATTACCACATCGTGATGCGTAAGCACGACACTTCGCGACAGCTAGACAGTAATGAACGCCCGCTGCTCATACAGAAGCGGCTCCTAGAGCTAGCCGGATACACGGATAAGGATCGTCTAGAAGATGTTGGCCGAGAGGACAATAGCTATCTCTGCAGATTCACTTTCCTTCCTGCCAAGATGAGCGGATACTCGAGTCTGGAACGGGACCCTGGTTTCAGCAAGATGCAAAAGTTCACCCACGTTGACCTCCAAGGCCGCAATTTGATTACCATTCCTATCACCTTGTACCAGAAGGCGACCGAGATAATATCACTCAATCTTTCCCGTAACCTATCATTAGATGTCCCCAGAGACTTTATCCTTGCTTGCACCAACCTGAGAGAGATCAAGTACACCAGCAACGATGCCAGACGACTACCTCCTAGTCTTAGCCTCGCCAGCCGCTTGACCATGTTGGATATCTCGAACAACCGGCTGCAGTCACTCGACCGGGCTGAGTTGTACAAACTGCAAAGCTTGCAAGGTCTTCGACTCTCCAATAACTGGCTAACCCGGCTACCACCCTACTTTGGACAGTACCGTGCACTTCGCAGTCTGAACCTGAGCTCCAACTCGTTGAACGAATTCCCCGACTTTTTGTGTGAAGTGCGCACACTCGTCGATCTCGACATCAGCTTCAACTCAATCTCCAGCTTGCCCAAGATAGGTCAACTGACCTGTCTGGAGAGACTCTGGGCGACGAACAACAAGTTGAC